ACCCCAGACCCCCCCCCCATTTTTTAAAATTTTTGCCCGGGGGTTTTTTTTTTCCCTGGGGGGTTTTAAAAACAAGGTGGAGCCCCCCAGAAATTTAAAAAAGGGGGGGGGTTTTTTTCAAAAAAAAAAAGGGTTTTTTTTTTCCCCGAGGGGGAGTTTGGGGAAGGGCCCCAAAAACCGGGGGGGGGGTTTTTGGGGGGGGTTTTTTTTTTTTGGGGAACCCTTCCCTCCCCGTTTTTTTTCTTTTTTTTTTTTTTTCCCCCCCCCAAAGAAAACCCAAAAAAAATTTTCCCTCCCCAACCCCCAAAGGGGGTAATTTTTTCCCAAATTTCCCCGGAATTTTTTTTTCCTTTCCCCCAAAAAGTCCCCCCCCCCCAAAAAAAAAAAGGGCCCCCTTTTTTTTTTTTTTCGGGGGCCCCCCCCCCCCCCCCCTCGGTACATGCCTTATGTTGATTATCTGGAAACGATCCACCACGACGCATCAGCAGCGCCCCCTCACGGAGGCGGCTACGGAGGCCAGCCGGCGGGCCCCGGCGCCCAGGCACCGGGCGGGGGGGGGGGTGGAGGCATGGGGGCGGCGACCGGCGCGCCTACCGGCAACCAGGCGCTGCTGCCGAGCATCAACGACACCGACATGAGCATCCAGGCCGACCCCCGGGTGATGCGGATGACCGTCGGGGCGATCCCCAATTCTTCTTCGGCGCACTCTCAGGTATGGGGAGGCGATGGGTGCTGTCTTTCGGAGAGGGGGAGGGGGAGGCTAGTCATGTTTTGCATGCCTTAGGCGTAAGACCCTTGGCCAGAGGGGGGGGTTGGTACTCGAAGTTGATTTGTCGCAGATGTTCTATGCCATTGACGCCGCGTCAAGAAGGGGCGCCGTTCCAGTGTTTATCGAGACGTCCATCGTTCGTGCGGTCCTGCCCTGCGTTATGTCCGGATTTACTGGCGATCGAACGGGGTGCTGTTACGTCCTGCCCACGTGATGTGGCTCTCCTGCCGCGAAACAACGAAACCAATGCGTTGTCTCGCTCATGCCTTTTCGCCTCTGTAATTCTGGTGGTCTCTCTCTCCCTCTCTCTCTCTCTCTCTCTCTCTCTCTTTCTCTCTCCCTCTCTCTCTCTCTCTCGTTGATGCGTGTCCGTGTACACACGTGCTCCGTCCCGCAGAGCAAGATTCCGTTGGGTCTAGTTGTCCAGTCGATGGCGCTCGATATCGACGAGAAGGACGGGGGTCTCGACGTCGTCAACTTCGGAGCGCAGGTGCGGCGAGATTTCCCGGCATCTTTGTGACCTTGTCGATCGTAGAGCCTTGCGGGGGTGGGGGGGGACGGCAGAGAGTGCCTTCGGGTATATGTGGGTGGTGGGTGGGCACGATGGCGATATCTGTGGAGCCGCAGATTCTTCTCTCGTACTTCATGTCGTTCGTGCGTTTTTGTCGCAACCTTTTGTCAGTTTTTCTTCTTTCGATGTCTACAGCGTTCGCGAAATTAGCAAGGTTATGAGGAAATAGAACAGGGAGGGGGGACGCAGACCGTATTCCCTGACCCTGACCCTAACCCAACTTCCCCGACTGTAATCTTTAAAACCAACATATGCTTACTTGGTAGAAAAACGAAAAACCGTACCAAGGCTACTGCCTCCAGCCCTGGTCTGCACACACCTCTGCCAGGGTTTTCGCTTGATTTCTTCACCTTCCTCCCATGGTACCATCATCGTCCTTCACCCAACTCCTGCTTGAACTCGTCCGCTTCAACCATAGGGCATCATGCGGTGCAAGCGGTGCCGCACGTACATCAACCCGTACGTGGGCTGGCTGAGCAACGGCCGCCAGTGGAGGTGTAACGTCTGCGGGATGGTCAACGACACCCCGCCTTCGTACCAATGTCACCTGGATCAGGATGGGCGCAGGTCGGACAGGGCGGAGCGCCCAGAGCTCGGCAAGGCCAGCGTGGAAATGGTAAGAATGCGTAGCGTAGATGCTGATACGCAACACCGAGAGATGCATCCGTTATGCTGTAGTACAGCCTTTGCACCGTCTGACGGTTGTCGGTGGCTGATAAGTTGGTGTATCCATCTGGACAGACAGGCGTTTGGCATGGCGAACACTCCGCGCACTTCGGGTGTCCACAGTCCCGAGTGCTTGCCACCCTTAACCCTCCCTGCCATGGCCGGCAGGCCTCCCAGCAGCAGTCAGTTCGTCTCCCGTGCTCTTCTTGCTCTGTGGGCCTTGGAGTGTTTCTACCATGCTGAACAACTCCCAAAGGCGTTTTGTATGTTCTAGCTCTACATATATACCTCTCCATTCACACTCGTGTTTCTGCTATATTCTATATAGGCCAATCCCTTTTGGAAGCATCACAGAGGTCTCGCTCAACATTTCCTGTGTTTGCACGGAGTTTTCCATCGCCGGAGACCCTTCACCGCTTGTTGCCGCGTTCCCACCGCTGCTTGTGCCCGATCCCCCCCCCTCGCTACCGGCCTAACGTATCCAAGGTGGCGCCTTCGGAGTACATGGTGCGGCCGCCGCAGCCCCCGGTGTACATGTTCGTGATTGACGTGTCCCAGCCAGCAGTGGCGAGCGGCATGGTGCACGTTGCCGCGGAGACGATCAAGGCGTGTCTGGACAACCTTCCGGGGGAGGAACGCACCATGGTAGGTCGGTGTGGAAACCCATGGTCAGCCCATGTGGAAACCCCTAGCAAGTCGGCGTGGAAACCCATGGTATGTCGGTGTGGAATGTCGGTGTGGAAACCCATGGTCAGTCCATGTGGAAACCCCGCGGCAAAGCTTTGCTAGGTGTGGCCGAAAGCTCTTCGCGAAAAATAAACTTAAGCTCAATTTATTGCACAGGGCTGGCTAGGCCCGGTACTGAAGATATCCAAAATCTGAAGTAAGAAATCGAGCTCTGATTGGCCGAAGATCAGAGAAATGCAAAACAAGAAAAAACCCGGGTGGACTGTCTCATGCTCGGACAATCAATGCATCATAACTCGTTTGATGAAATGCCTTTCCCGCCCACAGAGCATTTTGTTTTCTTCTTTTTGATACGAGTATTTCCTTCTACATACCCACAACAGTCCTACGATGATTTTCAGCATGCCAGAAAAGTCCATGTCCTTTTTGTTTGAGATTTCTTCTTTGCTCGTACGCGTATCGTGCGTTCTAGTTCTGCGTGCCCCCTCTAAATGCCGCATCCCCCGTGAAAATCACTCTCTTCTTCATGTTCATCACCATCTTCTTTCCCTGCCCTACACACATGTGCGCAAATATATTCCAGGTGGGCTTCTGCACGTTCGACAGCAGCGTACACTTCTACAACCTCAAGTCCAACCTGTCTCAGCCCCAGATGCTGGTGGTGCCCGACCTCGACGAGCCCTTCCTGCCGGTGCCTGACGACCTCTTGGTCAACCTTAGCGAGAGCCGCAGCGTGGTGGACACTCTTCTCGACAACCTCGCGCAGGTGAGCAGCCGGCCGAACGACGGAAGAACACATTATTGCGAAGAATACCCCCCGAAATTGTTTTTAGATTTTCAGCCCCCCCCCCAAAAAAAAAAATGTAACGTTGTACCGTTTCGCCGCAACGGAACCACACGCGATCTTTGCCTGTAGCTTCCGGGGGGGGGGGGTCCGAAATGATGTGGTGTCCTTTGCCGCCATGATCTACGATGATGGTTGCAACCGTTTGTTGTTTCGTGGGCATGGAACAATTGTGTTTCTTGCTGACGAGCTCCTAGTCTCAATTTCGCAAATCGTCATGTTGTGTTGTTGCAGTCATTGTGCGTTTTTGTATTTTCCCTGCCCAGTGAAGAAGCGTTCGTCTCAAACGACGGAAGAGGTGGTTGCGCCGGTACATGCCCTTGTGCTTGCTCGGAAACTGCAGTCGGTAGACGCATACCTTTGGCGGTACGAAAAGTATCAAACCTATCGAACAACTCACGGATGAAATACGGCATCTTTGTATTGTTTCCGTCTTGTTTGTTTTTTTAGCGCGGAGCGCTCTCCGACTTGCGATACCCGGCATCGGGCTACTCTTCCCCGACATTTTCTCCTTGTCTCTTCCCTCTCGACGCTTTCTTTTTGTGTGTGTCTTGTCATTTTCAGATGCACTCCCAGACTAGAGATGTGCAGTGCTGCCTTGGGCCAGCACTGACTGCCGCGGGCAAGGTCATGGGCCACGTGGGCGGGAAGATGGCCGTGATGTGCGCAAGCCTTCCTTCCACGGGCGAGGCAGCGCTGAAGCACAGGGAGAACCCGAGAGCGTTGGGGACCGATCGCGAGCACCTGTTGCTCAAGGCGGAAAATCCGTGGTACCAGGTGAATAACAGCTGCTCTTCTTCGTGTGTGTGTGTCTTTATTGTTAGCATCGACCGCGCTAACCGGCTGACCAATGAAAAGACGTCAGTCTTAGTGCGGTTGACAACATAAAAACGCTTTTAAGTGCCATTAACTAGGTGTGTGTGTTTTTTTTTTTCGCAGTGGATTGTTGGAGTTTGGCCGTAGTGCCCGGGACATTTTCTGGCGATCACTCTCGTCGCGGCTTCCCGGTGACAACTTGAACATCCCCGGGCCTAAGGGATACCACGTTTCATGGCCCGGGTTGTGTAATCCACTATCTCAAGCCCACCGCACACTCGAAGTATAATAGTACGAATCCTGCTGCCCCGCCCTGTGTTGTCGTCGTTGTTGCAGAATAAAGCGGTGGAGTTTAGCAAGCTTCAGATCTGCGTGGACCTGTTCCTGTTCAGCTCGGGCTACTCGGACGTGGCCACCCTGGTCAACCTGCCCAAGTTCACCGCTGGCCAGCTCTTCTACTATCCGGTGAGATGAGAGATGAGAGTGAGAACTCATGGTCAGAGGCCGAAGACGCGTCGCGTTGTTGTAGTCGAAATGCGTTTCGCTTGCCCCTAATTTGCTTAGAAAATGGTCCCTCCGAAGTATCACGCACAAGAAGCGACACGGCCAACATTCGCCATGGCTGAAAAAGCGCCACAATCATTTCGAAACTTGGAAAATATCCGTAGCCACAACCGAGGTTGTAGTTTTCGGAAAAGCGAAAGTTTGGAAATTTGGAAGTTAAATGTGGCCGTGTCCAACATCCCTACGGGAGCCCTATTGGCAGACAGAATCGGCACTACTTATGTTCGGCAGGTAATGCTCATGAGGCAAGCCCGAACCAACCACCCTTTCGTTCCCGCTCCCGCTCTCACACAAAATATGCCAAAACAAGGGGGGGAGATGCGACTCGTACGGGATATGAAAGGTACCGTTGGAGTAGGCAAAATGGGTGACCGGTATGTAGCGTGGGCGTTTCCCCCGGGGTTGTCTATCGGGCATGGCTGTGGTGCATGCCGCCTTCAGCCCCTACGGGTCTAGGCCGCACGGCACTGCTTCGGCGCTTCCACCGGCTTAATTATTCCTCGGCACTACTTGCAGCTGTGTCTCCCTCCCCCCCAAACCACCGAACCTTGCTTATATGAGCACTATTTTCTCACTGTCTCCGCCAACCATTACCAATGAGCCTGCTTTGCACGAATCCCCCTCCGCCCCTTCTCCCCTGTACCCACCCCCGACTCCACCACCAACGCGCCAGGCGTTCAACGCCCAGAGCGATGGGGTAAAGTTTAACGCGGAGCTCACCCGGGTGTTGACGAGAGCGACGGCTTTCGAGGCCGTGATGCGCGTGCGGGCGACGCGAGGCCTGCGCATCACGAACTTCTACGGGAACTACTTCATCCGCGGAACCGACCTGCTGGCGCTGCCGAACTGCACCCCGGACAGCGTGTTCGCGGTGGAGTTCGGGTACGACGAGCAGCTGCTGACGGCGTCGGTGGTCTCGGTGCAGGTGGGTCGGGGGCGCCGTGGGGTGGAGGGGGGTGGGGTCCTTGTGTAGCGTGTTCGCGGCGTTCGACGAGCAGCTGTTGATGGCTTCGGTTGTCTTGGTGTTGGTGAGAAGGGGGGGGGGTTCTCGCTGTGTAGGTAGGGTGTAGGGTTTGATGGGGGTGTCGTGGCGAGGGGGGGGGGGGGTAGACGGACAGGTGGTGGGAGAGAGGGAGATGGAAACTGGAATGTTCGCGGTCTAAAAGACAAATCTGCTGAAAATCCAACCGGTCGGATAGAGGTACGGCTGCTATTTTAAAAGCATCTTTGGGCTGTCATCCATCGCAGTGAGAAAAAGAGAGAGAAAGAGCGAGAGAGAGAGAGAGAGAGAGAGAGAGAGAGAGAGAGAAGCGTATGACAGGAAGTCAAGAGAGTTGCGGTTCCTGCTTGCTCGTTGTACCAGGTATGCCAGGTATGTGGCAAGGCTTGATGGTTCTTTTTTGACGCGATTGTTTCCCTCACTGACGACACTTTCACAACAAAACGAAACCCGATCTATTTCGAAGGACCTACGTGTACCAGGTACAAACTACCAGCGAATCATCAAGCGGGTAAAACCTGGTTAGAAAGCAAGGATGCCGTATATTTGACGCTCGGCCTCCTTCCCTTGCTCTGGTCAACTCGTGGTGTCATTTTACTTCGATTATCCCCCAAGGCGGCGTTGCTGTACACCACCTCCTGCGGAGAGCGGCGCATTCGGGTGCACAACCTGGCGATCCCGGTGGAGACGGTGGTCCAGAACGTGTTCGACAGCGTCAGCATCGATGTCTTGTGCAACATTCTTGCCAAGCAGGCGCTCGAGGTTGGTGCATTAACTCGAGGGTTCGTCTCATTTTGTTGGCTTATTTAATAGGCACGAGAGAGCACATAGTATGTACTTTGTCGCGCTTAAGGTTGTTTCGAGTTGGGGGCACATACAGTAACTAGATGCTGTGAACGGTGAGGTGGTTTGGTACTCATCCACTCTTTGAGAGAGTTTTGAGGCGGACGCAGGTCGAGGTATGTAGGATTTCGAGATTATTTCTTGAACCAGAGGAAATACCGAAAGGTCTACTGCTGTAGCTATTTTACAGGGCGGACAAGAAGCACACTTTGTAGGAAGAAGAGATAGAGATGACAGGGAGTCGATAGAGTTCTTTACGCTTCACTCTCCTTGCCAAGTGCCCGCGATCATGCTGGTCTTGATCACACAAGTCAGGAACATATCCCGGTCGAAGCTGTCAGTAACCAACCCGAAGATTCACGAATCCTGAACTTCTAAATCTGGCCTCTTTGGAGAAACATCTGATCCTATTGTCGAAGTTGTCTCTTATACTACGCGGCGGGACACGCTTATTTTTGTTTTTTGTCCTCGTGCCATAATAACACGTGTGTGCGTTTGTTGTGGGTTAAAGGTGTCCCTCAAGAGCGGATTGGACAGCGCCCGCTCGAAGATCCAGCAGACCTGTGTGGACATCATCCGCGCCAGCCGCGGTGGGGGCTACGGGTCTAGCCCCTACATGGCTGCGGGCGCCCAGCAGCAGGTTCGTTGTCAGAGCGCAAATTTGTCGCTGCCGAAGAATGGCTTTTTGTCGTGTTAGTGTTGACGGCAGTTACGCTGTCTCGATAGGTACAGTCTGGCCAGATGCTGCCCCACGCGGAGCACCTCTTTTTGTTTGCATCAATTGGCGCTGTTTCGATAGTTGCATCAGGCAAGCCAGAGCACCTATGTATGCTTAATTGGCGACAGAGCGCGAATCAGAATGAGACCGAATTTGTTGCTCCGCACATCCGTGCTCTGCTTGTCTTCCATTGCAGTTGCAACCTGAATCTTCATCCCGGACTATTATCTGTGGAAGCGACGAATAGTTTTTTGTTGTGTTTCTCTATGAAAAATACATGACGTGTTACTCACACATGTGTGTGAATAATTGCGATGGCCGGTTGTTGTTGTTGTTGTTGTTGTTGTTGTTGTGGTGGTTAGCCGACCGCGATCTCCGAGGCGATTCAGCTGCTGCCGCTGTACAGCATGGCCCTCCAGAAGAACCTTGCCTTCCGCGGCGGGACCGATGTCCGCACGGACGAGCGGGCGAACGTCCAGTCGCAGCTGGCCAACATGCCGGTCGACCACAGCCGGTGCTTCACCTACCCCCGCATGTTCAGGTGGGTTTGCGGCCGGAGGACGGTGCGGCGTGTGACAGTTCAGTGTGCGTTTGTGAATTTGCATCGACGGCGCTACCCGGCTGACCAATGAAAAGACGGGACGTCAGTCTTGTTGAAGTGGGAGATTACCTTTTCTTTGTGCTGCTTTTTTTTTTTTCTCCACGATTGCCGGTTTCCCCCCCTCTTGCCCCGCCTTGTTGCTTGTTGTTGTTGTTGTCTTCATCGTCTTTGTTTCTGTGATGACCTCGGTACGCAGACCCAGCCCCGTCGTCATGAAAGTATCGAAAACTATCGTTGATATTTTAACAGAGTCATCACTTGGATGAAGAGAACACATGATTTCCGCCCATTGCTGCACACGGTACGAAGGAAACGCCCAAAGCCCTCAGAACCCGAACTGAAAATGTGCAATCATCATCTATTCTCATGCGGCATGCTTCGAGAAAATTGTCTCTGACACCCTCCGCCTACTCTGCCTCCTCGCCCCTCGTGCGTGGATAAATCAGCCTGCACGACATGGAGGAGGATGCGGGGCTACCGCGGCCGGACGGTCCGGAGGGAGACCTCACGCCCACGGCGGGCACGGACGACATCAAGCTCCCGGAAGTCAGCAACCTCTCGGCAGAAAGGTGGGGGCTTGTGCTGACACAGGGTGCCGGGGAATGCTGTACATGTTGTTATCGGGAATCGGAGGTTAGGGTGCAGAGGAATGCCGCACATGTGCATGTTGGGAATGGGGGGATCGGGGCCATAGGATAATGCCGGGACAAAGTCGGCAGCCTCTCGGCACGAGGAGTGTATGATAGCAGCGTTTATTGTTTATTGGCCGCTCGTGGCGTTGGACAGTGCCGACGGTGGCTGAAGGAGTAAAGTACGTCCCCCCCTCAAATGTACCATCCCCGAAAGATTGCAACCTCTGTACAATACAGGGAGAACGCTGGATGTGATGATTTGACAGAGATCCTCCCTTGGTACATCCATCTGTAGCAATGGTCCAATTGGCGCGGACTCCTCCCGTAGTCACAGACGATCTAATCAACACGGGTGCTATTGTACCATACCGGTAGTTTTACAAGTAAGATGCCAAAGGACCTATCCCAAACAGTTCGGTAGCGTAAAACGGCACGTTGTTCGGTGTGTGTAATCTTTTCACACCGCGAACAAGATTATGAATGTCTAACTTGGTTGGCAAACAAAACCTCTTGGGTGGTGGTCTGCGCATTCTTGACTCGAACACAACAGAAGCAGCGTAGAGACATGCCTTGGCTGTCAGTGACATCACGGCTTGGAAGCGGTTTAATATAAGATGAAGTGACCTTTGGCGGTGACGCGATCTGGAACATCGTCCGAAATTTCTCAACAAGGTTCTGTGGCACCTCCTGAAAGGGCTGGGCTCGTGATTGGTGCGGCACCGATTGTATAGGGTGTCACTTCACGCAAACCCTACGACACAAACTTCCTCGACCGCCACCACGACCCTCCTCTCTCATTGTGTGTGTTTGTATTTTTGTATTTTTGTATTTTTCGTGGTTGTGGCTGTGGGATGGAATACAACCGGCCGTGTCTGTCTCTATGCCCATGGCGGTGTCGATCGAATGTAAGCAACTGAACGACGATTGTAACGACGATGTCCTGATGATGATGATGATGATGATGATGATGATGGTACAGATTGTCGTCTGAGGGAGTGTTTCTGCTGGAGAACGGCGTGGAGCTGTTCCTGTGGGTGGGGAGGGCGGCCAACCCGGCGGTGGTGTCGGCGCTGTTTGGCGTACCTTCTCTGGAGGGCGTGGACCTCACCCGGTTGCAGCCTCAGGTGACGAGAGCAATGACGGTTGCGATGGCTGTCTCTCGTTGTTCAGCAGTCTCTGTTACACCTAGCCTCTGCCGAGCTTGAGCGTACTTTCTGTGGGGTGATTTTTTTTTTTTCGGTCGTTGACGGTGACGGGGCACGAAGGGTTTCCTCCTGGACTACACGTATCAGGAGCATCGCCTCGTTGTCCAAAACTATTTTTCCTTGGCGTGCAGCCGGTCTTCAGACATGGCGTTCACTACTGCGGACGGCATTCCTCCAGCGGATTCTCCCTCTCCCACGCCGCTGGCGGATCGGACGTGGTGTCATCAGCAGAAGTATTTCCCCTCGCCTCACACCATGGTCACCACTTGCTGTCGTGGGTATTGTGTGTTCGCTTTTTTTCCTGTTGCAGGAGGAGGGGAACGACTTGTGCCGCCGGGTGAACAGCGTCATCGCGGCGTTGCGGCAGGAGCGGATGACGTACTTGCAGGTGCCCGAGGGTGTTTGTTGATGATAACGTTGACGTTGCCAACGAACTCGGTGTTAAGTTCGTGCCGTGCCGTTACTTGTAGGCACTCACTGGGTTGAAACATGAAGTGGTCCGGTGTTTTCGGCGATGACATTTAAGCCAAAGATCATCGGCCACGTGAAAGAGAACAGGACATGCTGCATTTCGATCTTCAAGTACGCGTGGGTGGAATGGGTGTGATTTTACAATGTAGTCCGGGAGGCGGGTATTGCACTCCTCCGAATTCGAGAGAACCGTGAACGTCGAACGTTCAGTTGCACGTACCTCAAGGGCTTACCGCGTTTGCTAGTTGAAGCTATTTCACCGCGATTTCCAACCTGGATGCATGCACTTCTCGCCACTAAATAGCGAGTCAAGTGTGGATTCCGTCGCTAGATACATGTACACATCTGTTGCCCTAACTTCATCGCCAAAGGGAACTTTTTCTTGGAGCTTCCGTTCTTGAGATTCCGGATCTTACGCATCTTCTTGTGCGAGCAAGCGTGTCGAAGTAGGCCTCCTAATTCATCGCGCCCTCTTTTCTCCATGTACCCTGTGTCCCGCGTTCGGCAGGTGACGGTGGTAGGGGAGGGCGACGGCCACAACGAACGGCGCTTCTTTTGGCATCTCGTGGAGGACCGGGCGTCCTTCCCAGGCGGGTCGATGAACTACGCCGAGTACATGCAACACATCAACCGACAGAGCGTCGGCGGGATGGGCATGGGCTGACGGCTGCGTGCGTGAGAGGTTAACGGCCGGAGGGCGGGAGAGAAGGAGAAGACTAGGGGGGTTGTTCAATAATATTTCGGATTTTGATGGTGTTGTCGCTTGGGATGTCGGTCTGCTTGCGGACTTGATCTTGCGGGATGTTTTCGTCAGTGGGTTGCTTTCGGTTGCAGCTGGAGGCGGGAGTTGGTGCAACTGGTGGGGAGAGAACGAGAGGTGTTTTTGGCACCGCTCAGCAATCGCTTGGGGAAGGTTGTACGTATCACGTATTTTATCTTGTCGCTTGTGTGCATACGCCCTGTTCTTCTTGCCCTTCTTTCCCCTTCCGCGTCTTTGCTATTTAGGCGGTCCTTTCATTTATTTATTTTCGTGTGCGTCGGTTGGGCCAGCCCTGGCGGTTATTTCAAGTGCTAAGATGGGGATCTTGGATGACGTCGATCATCATAGTTTGCGACTTGCATGTGGTATCGCGACGATGTCTATACAGCTAGCTGTCGTTCGTGATGTAGACGATTGATACGGGTATCTTAGGTAGGAGTGAAGGAAGGCTTGAAGGCGATATTTTGAACTGGTTCGGGGAGGAAGCGTTGCTCCATACCGAGCGATGACGGCCACGGAAATTGTTCGTTTTCTCTATCTGTCGAATCCCGCACGCTGCGATATGACAGAGGCGCAAGCAGTTTTCGGATTGGCTACATGTAGGAAATTTTTGGTTGGCCCATTATCCTTGGACGGCGGCTGCAGGGGTCTCGGGGCATGTTGGAGTTGCCGGTGACACATTTGAGTCGAGTAATACAACGAAGTAGTGGCAGCAGCAGCAGCAAGTCGCCTCTCGGCAGACATTTGTTTTGGACAGCTGCAACGTGGTAGCATACAGCCCAGCGCGGGGAGTGCGTTGAGCTCGCCCCGACTGCAGGCTCGTCTTCTTGCTCGAGGCTGTTTTTTCGCTGCCTGTCGTGAGGACTCTGATTCGGTCTTTTGGCATGAAACGCCGTGGAGAAAGCGTGTGCTGAAACAATTTTTTGAATCACATTTGTTTTGACGCCAATAACGCATGAGGCGGTTTTTCGACTCTGGATGGAGTGTCCGCACGGGGCATGTGTATGGCTTTGCGAGGAGGGTTGTTTTGGATGGACAAGAAGATGATCCAGAGAGGCACCGAATTTGGGATGAGAACGGGGTGCTTGCTGTGTTTCCGAGCAACCGAAGAAACGCCGTGTTTAGTATCCCGACTTGCCTCCCTCACACGCGCGTGGGAGTTAAGCGCATTGAACGCGGGCTCCAAAGGTATGCTGACCGCAGAATGTTGGTGCATGTCACCATCTCAGCGTCGGAACGGCGGCAGGACACATCGTTCTATGGCAACGTATGTTTTGGGTTGCGCTCTTTGCACATGGACACTTCCCAAGCGGCTCCCAGGCGCATGTGGTACCCATTGAGCGATGCATTTCCAACCCGCACAAGCGTTTGACCCTTTTCACCGTCTTCACGTCATCCGGCTGCTCCTGGCTTCACATGCGCAACCCGCATGCACAATCTTGCTGATGATGATAGAGTGAACCTTTGAACCATGATGATGCAGTCAGCAGGTCTCGCCGCATGCATATCTGCCACGCCCTCCTTGGCGCTTGGCCCCGGCTGTCCCTACGCTGAGTACGACATCAGACTGCCACACTACTGCGGTCTGATCTCCGTTCGCGATCCTTTTAATGGCGTTGGGGGCGCAAAGACGCTGTGCAGTTGGGTGTGACTGTCGCTGCTTCCGGGGTCACACGCGGCGAGATTAAAGCGGTCAGTTGGTCGGATGCGGCGAGATAAATGAAAAAAATTCACAGCAGAGCAGTTCCTTCCGCGTTTCATGAGCGAGATCTTTGGCATCCTAACCCCGTAGAAGACTCGGACGAGAGCTTGGTCATAGCTTTAGATATGAGCAAGTCATGAGAGCTTCTAACCGTCGCCGTCGAAACCCCTTCGTCGTTACTGGCGTGTATTGCTGCTGTGCAATTCTAGCGACGACCTTCTCACGGCCGGAACACGTCGTTGCAGTAACGCCCGCTAGCAGGAGCGGCCGTAGCGAGGCCAGAAGGAGCAGCAAAAGCAACAATGGGAATAATAGGAGCTCGCAGGGAAAGCTACGCGCCGCTTGGGCCGGATCGTCGCGGGCAGACGCGGTCTTCCCTCTTTTGCACTTGCATTTCTGTCTGGACTGCCCGGACCCCGCTGCAGAAGGTTCAGTCGGTGAGAGACACTCACTCGCGGCAGACGGTTCAACTGTGTCTGGGAGCGCTTGCTTCAATTTCTAACTCGATTTTCATAGCTGAATAGAGAGTAGATCTGTTGCTGACCGCAGCAGTAGGCAATGGCCGTCTGCAGCTACAGTGCCTCAAAACTTAGCCCAGTGTCTTATTCTGTCCAGAAGTACGGCTTGATACAGCAGGTCGCATGTTTTCCGTGAACATCGTCGGGCGCCTGGTAGGCTTCGAAGACTGCTGCCGAGAAGGCCTCTGATATTGCTGTACGTCTGCACGGAGAAAGAAGATACGCGTTGCCTTTCCCCCTACAGTACGTAGGTCTGCACCAGAACGAGCTCTCTCCGTAAGTCGAAAACCGACAGCCGTCAATAATATTCTTTCGTCCCCAACCCGCCTCCGCATCTGCTGTTGCCCTCGATCTTTCAGTACGGGCTCTTGCACCACACCATGGCATTCGCGAGTTCAAGGTCTCCGGAGGTGAGATTCACAGTGGTACTTGTATTGGTGTCCTGTGGTGCCTCAAATTTGATCGGCGAGCCTTTCTCGGTTCACCCTTTGTCTCCCTGCCTTGGGTCTTTCTTTGGCTTCCTTCTCCTCCATACCGTCGCGGGTGCGATATTCTGTGCGACATTCTCTGCGAATAAGCAAGGCGAGAGAGAGAAAAAAAAAATGCCCGCAGAGAGAGAAAAAGTGCCCGCAGTTTTCTGATTGGACATTTTTTTGGAAGGGAATCTCCTTTGGTCGAAAATACTTTCGCGAGCCCACGTTGTGAATAGTGTGTTCCACCACGCAAACCATGCCTCAACAGTGTATACCCCGCAGTTGAACCAAGTCACAAAGCTTTTCATCTAACATGACATTGCGTGACGTTGTCGTCCTTGTCATGTTGTGAACGAAGATCTCGTGTACGCCGTCCCAAACACCGGTAACAAAGACACGCTTCTGAACGGGGACGACATGGCTGCTTGCGTCGTTCTGTTCGAAAGAGGGGAGGTGAGGGCAACAAACAGCTGGGGTGGGCATTGAGTGTAGCCAATCTCGAATCCGACGTGTGAAGACTTGGTAGGGAGTGAGTGGTACGATTCGATGCATAAACAGTCGACAACTTCCTGAAAACAAAGGTTCTGTCGCGGGCCACTTGCTAGTAGACCCCGCTGTCATAACCCGCGCTCGCGCAGAAACATTTCTCGTGCGGCATCCCTCGTACAACATGGTGTGATTATCTTGCCCCACCTGACACGAACGTGAACATGTATTCCACAAAATGTTGTCGTCAAAGGTTGTATTTGCTCAATCGCGTACAGCAGGAACCTCGACGAATGCCTCCATACATATCGCACACACAAACATTGACAACAACTACACGCGCGTGCGCGTGTAGGTTCCGGTGGTGGAAAAGATTCTTAAAGCACAGACTGCAGGGGCGGTCGGGGTAATTGTCGTTGACAACGGCGGCTGCGACGACGGGCTCGTCGACTGCGGCCGGCTGGGCGGCGCCCGGGACGGGGGTTTCGCGAAGCGGGACGGCGTGCACGCTTGGTCGGGGGTGAAGATTCCGGCGGTGATGGTGTCGGCGGCGGACGGGGAGAGGTTCAGAGGGATGATGCTCCTGCAGAAGATCGTGGTGGAAGGGCTAGGGGAGCAGCTAGTGCAGCGGTAGCAACACGGTTTTCGGCCGCCGGAAGCCGCTTGCTTGTTGCGCGGGTTTTCGGCGCTCGCGGTATCGCTCTGTCTTGCGTGAGTGCGTGGTGCGAAGAAAGGGAGATATGTAGAGGGGAGGGCGATAGTCGCTTCTTCAGCTTTGTGGCCCGGGAATTTATGCCTGCCCTGCCCCTTCGCCGTTGGAACAACACGGGAGCCAGGGGCGATGACGCCATACTGCGACATTCTTTACGCGGTTCAAAGCCACCGGCGCATGCTCCCTCTATGTCGGTTGTGGTCGTGTATCCATGCCGAAGACATGAGGTCGTTTTGATGTCCCAGTAGTACACTCGTGTGTGATTGAGTGCTAGAAATGATGTCTTGACCACGGTATTTTTGGTGCCGGTCGAGTACACCACATACCTCGAATCAGAGAAAGACGAGTGTCAGCCTTCAACGCCAACCATCTACTGTAACTCACGTCACGGTCCCGTTGCTTCAATAGGCTACAGCCCGCTCCGCGGTTTCATAGACCTGAGCCGTCGTCATCGTGATTCAGGTTGAAGTTGTTGTTTCTGCGTGGGGACACAGCACAAGGAACCGAAATACGCTGATCAGCAATATCGGCTGAATGCTTTGTTATGGACTTCCGATGTTTCTTTCAGAGGCAAGATTGCAGCTCTTGTACAAGGGGGCTCCACCCGCCCCCCTTCGGGGGGCGCGCACTGCGCTGAATTCCGCACATGAGCATGAGGATAGTGTAGCAGCAATAGAAGATGCTAAGTGGATAAGGTAGGGGCGAATGTAGACGGGTGCCGACGAACGTGTTGATGCACCTGGCTGAACGGAAGTTGGTGCTGTTGCTTGTTGTCGTGTTGCGTTAAGAGCTGTTCCGGTCTCCGCTCGAAAGGGGAAGACCCGTATGTTTCCGTTGGACGCTTGCAGGGACACATTCAACAACAGGGACTGTTGACGGTTGTGCTTGCGTGACAGACATGCCGGGAAAAAAACGCGGCGAGATGAAACCTCTCACAATAACTGTACCACCGACGAACGAACGGCAGGCACGCACTTCCCCTCTCAGCCAATAGCAGGGGGGATTCGTCTTTGGTTCGGGTTCATGGGTAGCGGACGTTCCGGTCACAGACCACGTTGCGTTGGCACTGGCGTGGGGCGCAACGAGCATGAGGGCGCGGGACATCCCAGGGCAGGCCACATATATTTCAGGCCAGCCTTAAGCGAGAAACCCGATCGAAACTCACTTTTGGTGCGATATTTGTTGAGGTGTTTCGCCTCTAGGCGCCTGTGGTGAGACAACCTTTTTCTATGCTAGAAATAGAGAGGCGCTCATCGCTGGAAGATCGGAAACGCGAGGAGGGTCGAAGAGCCAGGCAAACCTAACCATGTTAATAGCTCCTGAATGCGCAGTTCCGACAAGTTTCGAAGGCTTGCTTTTGCTTAACAACTTCACCGTATCAAAATCCAGAATACAACGGTCGTGTCGACACCCCACGATCGGGGTTGAAGCAAAATGACGGTGCACGTGACACCTACTGTCTGCGAAGCCCTTGTCTCGAGTGAAGCCACACTCGAAGCAAAACACTGTCGAGGGTTTGCTCCATAGCGTCCGGCCGTGGCCAGCGAGTGCTCATCCAAGCGTGGCTTTTACGAAACGGAGGTCTCTGGGCTTTATCGTAACAACAACGAAGTTGAACGGCGCCGCCAGGTTCGGAATTCCAATGCCAACGTGGCCGGCGGTTACCCCGCACGGTAGCCGCAGCTAGCTGTAGACTACACGTGCTTCGAGACGGGGTCACCCTGCGACAACGTCGTCCAAGCACAAGTTTCCCCTTCCTACACACGTCACAAGCTGGAGGCTTCCTCTGCTGGTGTTCTGTTTCGCCCGCAACCAAACTCTCTCTTAAGCGTGTAGCGACACGGCGGCGAAACCGACGAGAACGAAGGGCTGGTTGACTTCTCCTTGTCAGTTGGGCTTCTCCACCTTGGACGCCTGTGTCTCTGTGTGGGAGCGAACGCCCCCTCTCTCCCTTCTCTTTGCACTCCATCTCTCCGTTACTGAGAAGGTGCTAATCGAAAAAGACGCGAAGACAGCTATCCTCAGGCCCCAGCAAACAGGAAAAATACCTCCCAGGAATGACAAAATTTTCCCAGGAAGAAAACCGCTCCGCAAGAAGAACCACAACTTCCCTGCAAAACAAGAGCTATTTTCAAAGCATTCATGCCATACAGACGAGGCAGCGGTACTCCCCCACCCGTCGCTCCGATTGCCACTGCTATGCGGTACCAGCGAGAGGGTGGTTTGGTCGCTGCTTTGGCGGAGACGGAGGAAAGAACAGCGTCGAGCCTGGCACCACATCGTCGTTCACGTCGCACGTATCCGGAATACCAAACCTGCCGAAAACATTGTGGAAGGGGCAAGCGTCGTCTTAAACGGTGTCGTCTTAAACGGTCAAGGGAATGGGTGGGGCCGGTGGGCGACTGCATGAGGGGTTAGCTGCGTTGGGGCTACATTAAGAGAATCCTCGAGAAATGTGACATGTAAACATGCTTTTTTCCCACACAGTCTTGCGAAAAACGTCCCTCGCAACGTCCGATAGGATAATCTATAGTGCCCCTGTGTTAGAAGTTCGACTGTTCAAACCTTCATCTTGACTGAACAGATTCAAATTGGTTCAAAACTGAACGTAGCTACCAAACAGGACGTAACTGTCAAAGGAGATGGGCATTCCATGGCATCCCAATCATAGCGTCGTCGTGCAGTTATTTGAGATGTTTCGTAGACGGCTAGAACAATATAGCCGACAAGAAGCATGATAACCGAACGACAGGAGTTGGAGAGCCGGGTTCCCCTTTCATTTTCCTCGTCCACAACCATCGCGCACGTGGATAGACCTCGACCCTGCCGTGTGGGTGCCTCTGGTCTGAGCAAAACTCTCACCGCCGTGTTCTCCCGTTTTGAGTCCGCACGACTCCCCCCGTCTGCTCGGCCTCCAAGATAACGTCGAAGATGCCGTTGGGCAGCACAGTTGACTTGTTTCCACCGACCGAGACGTGGAACGGTTTTTCTGGGAACTTGCCGAGCGTCGTCTGGTGTTGTTCCGTGCCGTTCGTCGATCGTTGTGCGTGTGATTTCAGGCATGGATATGTACATGTAGGGCAGAGCCAAAAGGTTAGCTTGAGGGCTGACGTCCTTCGTCCCGGAATGCATGCTATGAATCTTGCTGGGGCAGACGATGCACCCAGGGGGGTGGGTGGCTGCCACCCATGACCCGTCCTCTGACAAGCGCGCGCGTCCGAAAGGAACCAATTCTGGCTCTGGCGGCGAAGGCGCTGGGGTATAGTGCTCTCTGACCTACTATGACCGAATGCCATGGCTAGTGTCCAACCGCGCCGCGTATCTGACCTCGTTGAGGGGCCGTTGCATCTCCGCCTGATCGCGGGGGACGCCCCGTACGAGGAAAGGATTGCGCCAAGGGTCCAAAAACTGCGTCCCACCGCTGATGCCCCGCTGGTATGGAGCCAACGCAACCCGGTTCCCCGCATGGAACTCGCGCGGTCCAACCTTTCATTTACGTTGGAACCGAACGAACGGGTGGGGGAGTGCGTTGTGTCGAAGTGTCACTCATGTGCACGGCGTTGAGCGGCCAGAAACAACAACAGCTACATTATCAACGACAATAACACAGCACCAACAATAGAAATGGCCTCTTAGAGCAAGAGCAGCGTATCTTCTCCGAGCTAACTACAGCATGTGAACAACGTTTCGCTCAAAGTACACTGTCATGCTTTTCCCCCCTCCACCTGACTTGTGCCATTACGGTGTTTTTTTTACCCCAACAGCACGGGAAAATATCTCTACAGATTTTAATCTGCTACTGCCTCTACGGCTGGTCATCTCCTACACAACCCTCGCATCCTTGCTCCGCCTACCCTTTTGAGCCTGGAGAGGGCGTCTTCCAAATCCGCGGCCTTCTTTGGCAGGTCGTACGGGTCCTGCGCTTGTACGCTCCGCCGACTCTCAAGCCCCTTCAAGGGTATTCGCTGCTGCCCGTTCAGGTCCACCTCCAGCCCTCGCTTCGTGTACCCACGGGTTCTGTACCATGTATGGCGCGCCACGTCCATGTTCGACACAAGGTTCACAAGTTCAAGCGAGTTGTTATTTAGGAAAAGGGCGTGTACTGCTGAAGGTACCCCCAAGAAATTCTTCTGGTCTGGCTTGTCGACATGTCGATTTCTCTGTAGCGAGAAAACTGGTGGACCACCCAGCTAAATAGCTGCTGACTACAAGCGTATTTGTTTCACTTTCAATCAATCAGCGACCACGCCCATTGTATTCGTGCTGAACATCGCAGGTCTTCTCACGGAAGCTCTGGTCATTGCTTTCGGGATACTCGACAGGTTAATCGCGTTAGTTGTTCGAGGTAGCTTCCCGCGTACATTTGTTGGATTCGCTCTATGGCAGACAGACTAGTTTGATCATGAGCTGTTCTCTTGGCACCACGGCCTTCGTAAACTACGTAGCTTGGGCTCATAGCCTACAGAAGAATCTTCTAGGATAAAACATATTCCGGAGCGTACACCGGTCGAAGTAAAGAGAGCGAGGAATAACCCAACGTCAACAATACCGTACGAGGGTGTATCATTCCACAGAACACTCAAACCGGCTCCCCTTGCCTCAACAAATCTTTCGCGCTGATGGTTAGGTGCTGCTCCACCTCCACCCCACGGATCGTGGGCATCCGGCCTGAGTTTCTCATGTACGGAGAGTTGAACACCCCAGATATGCTCTTGGTGCTCACGAGATGGTGAAGGTTTTGCGCGGTTGCCTACCAAACGCGAACGGGTGGCGAAAAAATAGTTGCAACAAAAATGATATTCGTTCCCAAGGAAAACGGAGGTGCACGAGCCCACCCACACCTTGGCTGGATAAACAGAAACATACGGTCAACGCGATTGTCTCGAAGTGGAACCCCGCTCGACAGCCTATAATAGCTACTCTTGTACCCGTGGGACCCGGAAAATGGCGCTCGGTCCCGCTGAAGGATAATTTCATGTGGATTGGTAGCCTAGCTAGCTAGCACTAATGTCAGGTGAATATTACGCCGAAGACACCGTCTTTCAACCAGCAACAGCCAAAAATCTTACCGAGTGCTTCAATCGTGTCCCAATTACTGTGAGCTAGAACACGCTAATGCAGCTATGATTGACTTAGCACCACTGAACACCACGCGTGCTCGAGCAAGGGAACGAACAAGAGGGGGAGTTCCACATCAGAGAAGAGCAGAGAATAGCAAATGGGGCCTGTTACCTGAAGCTTCGCTTGGTCGGCCACTTCCTTATTCGCCGCCCTCTCCTCCAGCAAAGCCTGCTCGTGCTCTCGGAGCTCCGCCCTTACGGCATCACCCGCGTCCACCACCTGGGTTCGTGTGAGTGCGGAGGATAGCCTTCAATTTGTGAACACTTCACCACCAGACCTTCCCCTAGAAAACTGCTCCACGATCCCAACGGTGCACCTCAAGACCCGTGCCATTCGAGATCGCACTATGGAACGTACCGCCTGTCAGCATTCTTCACATTCACTCCGGGCGTCTGACATTCCGAACCGTTTTTTACGGAGTTCAGCAACTGAGCCGCAAACATAACTCATTTCAGAGGGGTTCAGGGAACACATACCTGCAAGTTCACTCGAGAGCGTACTATGGGACGTAAAGCCACTCGGGAGCGTACTACGGGGCGTAAAGTCGGTCGCCATTTTTCGCATTCACTCCGGACGCCATACGTTTCGCACGGCTTTGTGCGGAAATTTAGCGACAACTTTACCGCAGAAATGCCTCATTCCAAAGGGCTTCAGAGACTACATCTCTTGAAGGGTACAGAACATGTTACCTCTTGAAGGTACCGTTTCCTCCTGGCGTGGTTGTAGTTGTACTTGCGGCTCTGATACCCTCGGAAAGCCCCCTGTATTTCTAGCGCATGGTAGTGGTACACCGCCATCCTTTCTCTGCGTGGTCATCGGGGTTCCAACGTTGTCATTCCCAGAATATGGGGTAGAAGAAGCTATCAAACATGGGCACGTTGGCGTGTTGTGACGAGCGGTGGGGATATAATATGGCACGTCAATTGGTTTACCCGGGCGGCATACTTCATTCAATTGTTTCGTCACGACAAGATCAAAATGTGTCACGACGACGACACGACGACAGCAACAACGTGTGCATCGAACAACGCCCAGGAGCAGCATACCGATAAATGACGAAGCGGAGTGAACGATGCGGTCTAACCTTCTTCGAGCATGGTGTCCTGGCGACTGTGCCTTTCGTGTTCAACTACCCCACGTGAACAACATCTACTGTAGTCTTAATCTCGATCGTACAAGAGGGGACTTGAGCAGTGCTGCAACGGCAGGCACGCACCTCGCCAACATTTCCTCAAGTATTTGTTGAGTTCGAACACGTCCCCGATAGCCACGGTAGGCGCTGGCGATCCTTATCATCGCCGCTCTCTTCCGGTTGAGATCGTTCCGAACGGTCTGCGGGATCCCAACACGGTGGTACCATTGTCGAATGAATGCCGGGTCTTTTGCTTGGCTCATGCATGCCGACGAAAGCTCTTCACGCCACTCACGCAGCGATGTGCCCATGAGAACGCTCGATACTTCTTGTTCATATCACCAACAATGTTACACCCCATGTTTCCTTTTAATGGTCCCTGAACGGCACACAAGCATGGCGCGTTCTATGTATGCGGGACATTCGGAATTATGATGAACTCGGAGCATCAGTTGTTTGCACACCTTTCCTCGATAAACCCGCTTGATGTCTGTTGCCGCTTGAAGTTCTTGCTGCCTCGCCGCGTTTCGAGCATCTAGCATGGCATCAAGTTTCCTCAGTACTGAAGCCCGACATGACCACACCCCGTAGAAGTCGGCCATTTGGCCTACAGTGCCAAACGCAAACGATACGACCCTGTCTCGTCCTGTGTAAGGATTGCTACTTGCTGCAATAAAGAGTGAACACAACGAATGTTGTTGCGTTCGTGCACCAAAGGGTGCACCAGAGGGTAGAGAGCAGAGCGTTCGAGAGAGGACCAGGGAGGACGGGAGAGAGGTATAGCCTAGATAAGGGTAAAAGACAGGCCTAACACTGAAAAGTAGTCTACATAGAAAGACAGGTCCCTTGATTTCATACAAGGGAAGACGCGCAGCGCAGATGTGTCGGTTCGACAGCCGCGAACCTTTTTTTTGGGCCGTTTCGTCATGATGGCAGATGGTAGTTCGCACCCCACTGTAGTTCTGACTACCGTACTGCGTGCTTTGCGTCGTGAAGTTGCCGGGAGAAACAAAACACAACTTGGCGACGAGTCCACAGTGCGCGATTACTTTAGATGTACGTATGCAGTCTTCCCATTCAGATTGTTTGCTTGAGTTGGGAGCTCAAAGGAATTAGCAAGCCGAAAAACAGCAACCGGACATAAAATGACGGTTTCAAATGCGGCGCATCTCTATTCGACTTGACGGTGGACGTGTCACCAGCGCGAGTTCTCTCTCTCTCTCTCTCTCTCTCTCTCTCTCTCTCTCTCTCTCTCTCTCTCTCGCCTTTTCATCTAGCTTTCTACGTGCACCACCTGACTCACGGCCAAGAGGCTATGGTTTCAGGTCTCGAGATGGACCGTTCATCCCACCATGCCAAGGGAAGCCCCGCGATGACTCCGCAGTTGAGACAGATTGGAGACCGATTAGCTGCAGATTCATGGCATATTGACGCGCTCCTGCCGCCACATGCTGGCGAGATGGTGTACGAGGATCTCCAGCCTGTAGCCGCCGCTATGCAAGGTAGTGATGCATTGAATGGTGTTTGTGTGCTGTTCGCTTTTAGTCTTTTCTCTCTTCCGGTGCCATTGATACATATGTACTCAATGTACCGCACGCCCTGCAACAACACCTACTGCTGTAGACTAATAGCAAGAGACACCCACGCTCAGAATGGCCATTGCTATTGTGTACGGTCAGTGAAGTCCCTCTGGGCCTATTGCAACCCTGGAGAAGATCAAGTTTACGAGATAAGCCTACCATTCTTCCTTGTCTATCCACAACGTGTGTGTTGTTCGCAGAATGCGAAGTTTTGCAAGAGGGAAACGAGGCTTCTGTGTTCGACGACGAAGAGCTGGGGGTACAGGTTGTCGAGTTGCTAGGGAGGAGGTGTGGCGTGGCCTTCCCCTGCAGCTCTATATTGCGATATCTGTGCTTGCACGTGAAGGTGACCCAGTTCCTACGCGTTATCCACTCCATCGTTTCTGGAAAACAGAAGGACGGCTGCTGTAGAGCACGGGAGACTACTTGTGCAACTGCTGCGCGTGTGCCACGATTTCATTTCTTTGATCAGCATCAACGTATTTCCGTGCGTTTTTGCTCGGAGTTGGCCTGCTGCAATGTTTGGCTGCAAACGTTAGTGACCACTCGTCGACGGTTTGTCCCCAATACGTCATCGAGCACCAACATGCGCTTACCCAAGCCCCGGCTGCGACCCGACTTCTTGCAGACGCTGGACAAGTTCTTTTCGTTTGAGGTAGAAATCGTGGACGACACCAAGCGCTATCGGTACATCGACATCAGGTATAGTCTATGCGTAGAGCCTACACGTGGAGATCAAATGTGTACTACGGCCCCTTTCGCACCCGTTGTGATGCAAACCGAGCGCTACTTACAACTTTCGGGGCCATAGCTCTCCGGCTACGTTTCGCCGATACTGATCGCCCCCCCCCCCCCCTCTTCTCCATCACTACTGGGATGGACATGGACACCGTTTCTCTTTGCCCACATCACTCATTCCGCCCGTCCTGTCCGCCGCCATGTCTCTTCCAACCGCACAATACTTGAAGCAATACTCGGAGTGTGGCGGACATCGGCGATGACCGCGCCTTGCTGCCGCTCAAACTAGAAGATGGCTGGCAGCGCGTAAACATCGACTTGGAAAGGACAGTACGCCTAGTGTTCGGGTCATCTTACCTCACGACGTCGCAGGTCACGGTCCGCGCGAGCGCGAGGGTCGCCAAACTGTTTTTCCAGAGCCAGCCATTTTCGGACTACGAGCTCCCGAGCCATCTCCGAGTTGTCGCTGAGTAGTTTTATTCAAACTCAAGGGTTTACACTTCTTCCGTCGCGATAAGCACACAATAACCCCAAGCGTCCTACCCCGAACGGCGGGAATGCTAGCAAGGCCCCCCAAAGTTCAGGTAGAGATCGCCACGATTCCCCTGGATTGTCGTGTCGATGCACACTGCGTTAAACTAATAAGAGCACACAAGTCCGCCTGTCGCCTGTCGAGTGGACTACGCACAAAGTGAGGAAAGTGTAAGAGGAGTAAGAAACGCCAAGTTTCTACTTGCAGGCACATGGAAGAGCCACCATCGATGGAAGGACTATGCATACAACTACGCTTGCCCCACCGATCAATCGTGGTCGACGCACCCTGAACAGTACCAAACCTGTGGGGGAGGGGGAGATAAACATTTCCCGATTCTACGTCGGTACCTCTTGCTGTACTATTTAGCAGTACGTAAAACGTTTGCCAACGTACAGCAGTGCCGCGTACAAAATATACCAGGGCATCCAATGAAAACATAAAGGGCCACCGCATGCACTCCCGAAAACACTTCTTGCTCCACAATTAAAACCGTACAACTAAACATTACAACGTCGCACCCGCTGCCTCTCAGAGAACCAAGACAGCAACCGAGAGTTGATTCAAAACCTCGTTCACCGTTCAAACCAACCCCGAAAACTTTGCTTCAAAACTTTCTTTCAGTCTTCACACGCCTCGCCTCCTTTCTCCCCGTTGAACTTCCAAACGAGGACTGTTGTCCTGTCATGTTGGCAACCATTCCATCACAGAATCAGCACGGCATGTGATGAACTCCCTCCTTTCCGTTGTGCTTTCCTCGGAGACTCCAAGCCATCGCCACTACCGTCTAGCCCTACTCTCGATCTCACCCCCCAGGCCGAGTTCCACAGCATCCTCAAAGCCGACGAGGTCATCGCCGTTGCCTGAGAAATGATGTCATCGTTTCCCTCCGCAATCTTCGGGGCAGTTCCTCGCCCAGAGAAATCGCCACCCGTCCGGTTCCTCACCATGGTCGCAGCGGCAGCGGCGTGCCCACCCCCGTTAGAGGTGTCGTCGGAGCCTGCCTCCGTAGCGGCACTGGTGTTGCCGTTGCGCGCTGTTGCCTCGTCGGACGCTCCTCCGGCTCCGCCAACGGCCGGCACCTCCGAATCCACGTCGTCGTTGCTGTCGCCGATTGGGGGGGGGCGCCGAATTTCTTCGACTCTGTCCTCGCCGGCGGCGACGTACGTGCTGCCGTGAGAGGAGGAATTCCCGCTCCACGGTCCCCCGCGCTCATGGCGTGAAGCAACCGCTTCCGCCGCAGCCGCCGCAGCCGCCACCGGCCCCTGAGCACTGAGGAAACGCGACGAGCGCGAGTGATAACGCCCTCGGCTTCGGCTGCTGTCGCTGCTCTGGGGCGAGAACACCCCCCGTCCGGGCACCACGGCGCGGCCGTCGGCGGAGCGCGGCGTCAAAATGCCGTCGGCGCTCCTCCGGCGTGCTGGTGGTTGCGCCGCACCGTGCTCGGCGAGTGTGCCCGCCCTCGCGGTTGAAGCATCGCCACCGCTTGCGGGCGTTGCGGCCGAGCGTAGGGCCTCGCGGAGGGCACCGACGAGGCCGTCTTTTTCCTCGATGGTTCGTCGGAGGGAGGCCAGCTCCGCCTCGAGCGTGGCCTGAGGACGTCAGGCAGCACACCAAAGATTTTCGGGGAGGAAAGACGTTTTCCATCCGCGTCAGTTAGGCCAGTGCGAAGATGAAGAAGGTACTGAGCGGAGACCGGAATCACTTATAATGTGAAGGCAACAACAACAACAACAACAACAACAACAACAGTTGACATCGGGGACGCAACACAAAGCATGAGCACGGAACCGGGGGCGACAAGGCCGCTACTACGCGCTCGTTTTGTGGCCAAAAGGCCACGCAGCCGTGTTACCAGTGCTTATTCTCCTCACCTGTACGATGCGTTCTTCGCCAAGACGAGCGTCCAGCAGGTCCGCAAAGCGCTTTTCTCCGGCGGCCGCACCAAACCCACCGCCGACACCACTGTCACCTTCGCCCGTGGCGGCGGCAGCGGTGGCGGCGGGGTAACCGCCGATCTTGCCCGTGCTGCCGTTCGCCGGGGCAGGAGAGTGGCCCGCGCCCTCCCGCTGCAGGAGTTGCACCTGCGATCGTATGAATATGGCAAGTCAAGACTCGTGCACTTGCTGCTCGCCGGTGTCATGTGTGCGGGTGTGGCGCTACGAGAGTGAGTGTGAAAGTTTCGTTGTCGCGACCCAGAAGCTTGCTTTCTACAAGCCGGGTGCACGACAATGGTTGCAGCGGAAGCGCGGTACACGCCACGAGTCTGCACCGGCAGCAATCATCGATACAACAGCAAAACAAGGTAAAAACTAGAGTTTTCTTGCGAAACATTAAAAATATGGATTTTGTCCGCTCCACGACTGTGCTGGCTACATGGGGTATTATCGCGTTGAGCGAATAGAGCTGAACCGACGTAGTCCAGTGTGGACACGAAAAAGCTCGCTACCCAACCAACCGATGTTCAAGCCGTGCTCCCGCTCTCGCATCCAGCTCCATGCCCAGCACCCAGCTGAAAAAACAGATTGATTGGCCTTCGCGTCACCACCTTCGGCCGATATTGTTCCGACGACGACGGCAGGCCATCTCAGTCGCATAAGACATCAACACACTGCACAGCAGTGTTGTTCGGAATTTCGAGGCTACTCCGACCCATACCTGTCTCTGGAACATTTCCACTTTGCTCCTCAGCTTCCGCCGCTCAGATTCGAGCGCCGATATCTCTATGGAAGACCTGATATATTTTTCATGCGATACGCAGGGCAGGAAGCAAAAGACATGCATGGGTGTTACGTTGGCCAGTGGGGCGAGCGGCGCTAGCTGAAATAAACAAGCATCACGCCGCATCACGTGCTGGTCAAAATGTACTTGGTTTGACGGTAGTCGCATTTGCCCTGCTTCGCCAATGTTTTGTTCCCGCTGTCTTCGTCTGATACGGCTTCGGGTTACCAAAAAGGAAAGGGGGCCCGGCGATTGCACTTGCCCCCAGATCATAACGACTCAAAAAAAGCGCAAAGCACGAACCGTTCAAAACACGTTGAACACACCGCGTTCACCAACCAAGAAGGACGGCAAGACTGCCCCGCCGAACAAACGAACCCACACACACACACTTGCGCAGGAACTACGGCGCGCCCTGCCACGCACCAAGCCTAAGCAACACTTACGCATACCACCACACTTGGTGGACGCACGCACATACCTGGCCTCGACCTTCTTCTCGAAAGCCTTGAGTTGTGAGCCTGTCAACCAACCCCCGCTGCCGCCGCCGCCAATCGCAGTCGTCGTCCCTGTGGCCGCTCCCTCCCCTCTTCCCGAAGCAGCAACCTGGGTCTGATCCTTGTCGCCAACGCTGCCTTCGTCATCGTTCAGCAGGCTCCACGCGGCGGCCGGTCCACCCAGGGCCTCCGCCTCTGCCCTAGCTGTCTTGTCAACGACGCGCCGCTTGGATAGGACTTCTTCAAGGCCGTGGAGGGTCGACTGGAGAGCGTCGAGCCGGGACGCTCGCCCGTGCACCGAGAGGGACCCGCCTCCCACGCCGGCCTGGTGGCCGCGCAACGGGACAAGCGTAGGGTCAACACAAGACCGCGATACGTGATCATGAAAAAGAGAAAGGTAACCGCACCGCGATCGTGAAATACAACAGTCATGGACATGGTGCACAGCGAAAGCAAAGATTGTTGTCCCGAGAACTCTCAACGGAGGAAACTGCATGGGGAAAGAGCGGAGCGGGCCTGCGGCAGCGTCGTTTGCCACGGCAGCGGCAAAGCAACACGATACACGCGCCTACGAGTGAGAACACGCGTCACAGAGGAATGGGTGCTGCTCTGTCGCGATTGATGCTTGGCCTCTCTCCCAAGGAACGCCTACTCAAGGAATTGCTCGCCTGAACGTTTCACACCAATTTTCTGGTTCTGGGGAACTGCGCGTCATGATGCGACAAAAACAATGCTGGCGGGGAGAACGGGTGGGTGTAGGGCTTTGCGGCGTTCGAGCGAACGGGTCACAGGAGTGCGCGCACTTCGCCGCCAAGTGCAGAAGGCCGCCACCTCGAGTCTTCGATTTGGCCCGTCGATTTCACCTTCTGTCCACGAAGATCTCTGCAGAGCTGAAGCGCGCGTGCCAGCTGATGATCCGCAGCGTTCCCGAGCCCCGCGCCTTGGTCTTCAAGGCGCCGCATCGAGGCCCACCGGGCCGCAGCTTGCGTGTCGGAGCTTGTCGGCCCCACACCGCTTCCTGCCGAAATCGCTGCACCTAAGCCTGAAACCCCGCCCCCCCCGAGCCCTGCCGCACGGCCAGGTTCTCCCGGCCCCACTACGGGGCTCCTGTGGCGGCCGTTGGGCAGACTTATTCCTGGCAGGGTTGTGGGCGTGAAAGGGTTTGAGCTGTCACTGTTGGCAGTGTCGAAGTCCAAGTCTTGTGTCGGTAGGACGCTGGACAGGAAGGCGGCCTGGGATGTTCGCGCCGCCTGTCGCACAATCTGTTTGCGGCACGCGGAGCATGGCGTTGCACGGGGGGGGGGAGAGAGAGAGAGAGAGAGAGAGAGAGAGAGAGAGAGAGAGAGAGAGAGAGAGAGAGAGAGAGAGAGAGAGAGAGAGAGAGAGAGAGAGAGAGAGAGAGAGAGAGAGAGAGAGAGAGAGAGAGAGTGGGGGGT